CATTAGTATTACTTTTTCTTCCCAAATTCTTTAGAGAAAAATCATCTCCTTTTTTTCCTAGGAGAGATTTAGAGGACTAAGTGATTAATTAACTCTAAAACTAATCGAAATGCTACATTTTTAAATTATGTAAAATTATAAATTTATAGTTATAATATGATATTAAATCAATAAATACATATAATATTATAGATAAATTTTTATATAATAAGAGTTATTTATATAAAAAATATATTATATTATAAATTTATAATATTATGTAATATTATAGTTATATTATTTTTAAAAAGTAAATAACAAGAAATAATTGTGAAACAATTTTTTAATAAAATTATTTTATACAACTTATATGTACACATGATTAACTTCTTTTACTCTACTATCTCGTAATATTTTCTATATTTATTCATTTAATTATATTTTAAAATGATACAAAATATATCATATGCATATATCCACTTAATGACAATTCGAGGTCATACAAAAAAAGAGTTACTAGCATATTTCTATTAACCCATTGATAGATAATGGGCTTGGAAATAGAACTTAACCTGTTTCACCAGGAAAGCAGGAGAGAAGGCTGGAATATGTGCATTCCCTGTAGTCTTAACTTTCCTGGCTTAGTGAACAACTATGATTCTGTGGTTCGATTATAGGTTTCCCTTCATTTATGAATTGGACTACACGGTAGTGCTTTCAACAAGACCATCCCCTTCCCAAACCAGTATTACAATATATATGTGTGTATATATATATATATATATATATACACATATAGCAACTAACATGGAGAAATGCAGCAGAACAACACTTTGGACCCTTTTACCTACAGATATCAAACTACAGATTCTAAAGAGTGTCAACTCGATCAATTACATCCAATGCTTTGAGCCGGTCAATGTCGAAGTTAATGATTGGGACTGATGATGGTCTTCTAATGGGGAAGGGATCTTTCTTTGCTTCCCTTGTTGGAGAGTGGCTACTGCTTTTACTCAGCCTATGCTGCTTGCTTAACCTGGTTTTTGTAGTGTCAAATTCCTGACTCTTACTTATTCCAGGAGTCTTTTTCCTATTGCTGACATCCCGAAGCATCTCTTGATCTTCAACTGTCAATATTGTTGGGGATGAGGGCTTCTCTGTAGATAAAGGAATTGTTTTTTGGTTGGGAGACTGAATTGGAGATTTAAGAGGTGATCTTATTTCACCATTGCATGCCTTTGCTTGGCTAACAAGATGGTGAAGCCATACTACAAGGTCTAGAATGTATCCTTCAGTTCTCTCCTTGTCTGCGTGGTGTAAGGTCTCAATTCTGAGTAAGTCAGTCTGGCTAGAAGGTTTTCGATTCACCTCTGACCTGAATAATTTCAAGTATAAAACTTTAGCAAGTATAATATGTAAATGATAAAAGGAAGATGAGTTTCTAGTCAGAACTTACCCTGTGTTTGCCCATTCTCCAACCCAGCCAAACCCATGATGTGCCCTGGTTAGACCACAATACAGAAACAGAAAGATGAGTAACTTGTATGAAAAAACAACGGATGGTAGGCTCTGGTCATCGAATGGATTTTGAAATATTAGAATTCACAGCCATTGCAACCATAACAGTTCCAAAGAATAATTTCATTTCATTAGAAGGATATCAGGATGAAATCATAAGCCAGGCAATGTAAGAAATAGCAATTTACTTGGTTGTGTTGGTGGCAATGGGAACAAGCCACTGCAAAGTTTTTTCCATTTCTGCTTTGATTTGAGGGACAGTAAGCTGCAAAGCCAACATGTTAGCAGAGAACAGTTATTTCTGGCAGCTAAAAGTAAACATGTCAGGCAAAGGACTATGGATTTTCAGCCATTTGAAAACCAAGACAAAAATAGAGAAGACCATTGAATGAGATAATAAAGCAAGCATAAGGAATGTAAAATGTAGAACCTCTTCCTTAAGCTGAAATGACTGCAGTTTAGAGCGCAGGGCAGACTTTACATTGGGCGGAAGCCCCTGATAAAGCGAATCCCTTGTATTTGGAGGCACAGAACTTGGTCGAGAAACCTGATTATATTGAGATCACAGCAAAATTCCTAGATTACTTCAGTGTAATTTCTCAACTTCTTAACAAATAAAACATAAAACTATTGCCTTGAAAAAAAGGGATCAAAGAATCCTTCTATTCTGAGTAGAAGATAAGGAGGAAGAAACTGCCCAATACTCTGAAGCCTACCCTTTGATGGGTTTAAGTTAACATCCATATAACTCATTTTATGGCCATTGTACAATGTGCAAAAAGTGAAAAGTTAAAGCATCTTAAAGAGTTGGAAGTGAGCAAAATCATATCCTTAGGATTCCTGCATACAATAATATTTCAGGTAGGTATGATCATGAACATATTGCAGGCACAGTCCATTATTGCTTTCCACGCACAGGAAAGACACTCCACAGATATACAATTCAGACACTCCAATTTGAGATAATATGTAAAGACAGAAAAACAAGAAAAACTTGGCAAAGAAAAATTAACTTTGCAGAAATTAGAAAATGATAAACTCACATGAGTATCAATTTGGGTAATAATATTTGCATAATGCAGTGCAAGACCAGCAGAACCCAACTTTTTGTGAGTGTTAGCAGACCCTTTTGTGGGTTTATCACCATCTGCAAGGTCAGAAAACATGACATTAACCCAATTTTACCGATATACACAACACCTATAAAAAGATAACAAATACTGCATTACTTTAATAGATAACATTCTGTTAAGCTACTATCTAGATTCTAGAAGGCCAAAAAGGAACACAAATCATGGTCCCAAGGACATCTTCCCCATTCTATTTTCCTAACAACCAAACTTGAGGGTGCTCTCCAAAATTGCAAAATTAGTTGGAGGTCTACAAGTAGTAGAAAGAAGCAAAAGATATTTCATTTTCCACCTACACAGTCAACAACTGAAATTTGAAATTGAGAAGAAAACTCTCTTCATATTATCACTATCAGAAATCAAATTGATGCCTTGTATTCTTACCCACGCTACTGAAGGATTCATGAATCTCCAAATGCAAGAAATGAACAATATCTACAAGCTTCACCATGACCTATAAATAGAAAATATCAAACTTGTTTCTATGATAAAAATAAAAATAAAAATAAAAATAAAAAGAATAAAAAAGGTAACTTCAAGAATAAAGAGCCAAAAAACCCTGAGCCTCAATTAGTGGAGTTTGAATAAGTCCTAGACTCAAATCTTACAAAACAAGGGTTAAGGAATAAGCAACATAAAGTACATATTTCTTCCATTCCATAATGTAAGTTCATTTTCCATTTCAGTTATTCCATCATAAAACCTGAATAAGCTTTATAAGGCACTCCAAATAGAGAAAAATGTTAATCAAGGGCATTAATAACATATAAATGTGAGATACAACAATAAAATTGTACATTTTCAATGGGAGTAGCATTATGGAAGGTAGAAATAGGATGTTTTTGAGTCATAAATATTTAAAGGCATAGACTAAAAGGACAATGTAGTAAGCTTTGCCAATTCATACCTCTTCCAAAATCTTAGACCAAAGAGATTTTTTCTTCAAGCTTTTCACATGCTTCTTTTGACTTTTTAACTCTGCCCTTAAGATTGCAAGGCTGTCTCCTACATGTAAAAAAAATATATATAGAACAAATTAAACAGAAACATTGAAACAAAACTATATTCTTTTTCTTTTAGTATTAAGCACTGTTTGCCTGATTTAAAAATAAAAATTTTTTTAAAAAATAAAATTAAAAGAAGAATTTAAGACAGAATCTAATAAGAACATGGCAGTACTTTAGATCTAAAATCCATTTTGTAGATTTAACCCAGCTAACTTAAGAACGTAGAGGCAGAAATGCCAGGCTGAGCCTAGAAACCAAAATGAAATGTTATCACCCATTGAGCAACAATGTAGAAGTGGAACCAAATTAAAGAAAACAACAATAGGATATTCATATTGAAGATCACAATAAATGCACTAATGAATCACTATGAAAAAAGGCATTATCAGGGATAGGAAGATGCTCATACTACGCCTTATGAGACCCCATAAATTCCAGTTAACTTGGTTTATGGGACACAAATGGTTGTTAAGATTTAATTACAAATCAAAACAACATTTTAGAACTACAAGGGCAAACTCTATCATTAAATTAGAAAAATCTATAGATACGAAGCACGGAAGCTAGAGCTAACCTCTTTGAGCTGTAGTTGAGTTATCCTCTTCTTGAAGCTTACGTCGATAATCTTGTTCAAATCTGTCAAGGGTGTGCAACTCATGATATAGTTCCTGCAAAGAAGGTTCCATCCCCATAAGATTTTAGAGACGACTTATTTCAATTTTAAATATGGAATTGCACAACTGCTAATATGCCTTCCATTTCCAAGAAATACATTAAAGAAAATGTTAGTAAAATCATCCAATTTCGTTTTAATAAATAATAACTCAACTTGGCTAGGCCTTGACTCCAAATTAATCAGATGACTTTCTTTTTTCCTTTGCTTTTTTTTTTTTTTTTTCTTGTACATGGGAACCACTTGGTATTGTAGAGGTTTGAACCCTTGATCTTGACAAAAATCAAGGTTTTATAGTTAGTGGGTACCAACCTGGCTAAGTTATTGTTTGTTGATAACTTGATGAGATGAATTGAAAAATATATTCATATATTCTAATATTACAAACAATATGGAATCATCTTAACTAGCAGAATTTTTTAAAATCAAATTTCAAAAAATAAGAACAAGTCATGCAATCATAACATACCACATGTGGAGAACTAAAATGCAGGGAAAAAGGAAGCGATCGAAAAGGGAAATTCATGTCTAGATGCTATGACAGAGTTCATTTCAAGGCTATTCAGAAATAATTTCCCCAGCACAAAGGGAAGAAGAAAAACCATTGCATCCTCTAAATGAGTATAACTGTGAGATAAAAAGACCATCATGGTTAAACAATGAAATCCAGGCTGCAACCTTAAGAGCAGCTTTCTTTCAACATTTTACAGTGGCAAGGCAGACTACTTACAGCTGTATGCTGAACCAAAGTCATTAGTTGTTGCAACACTGTCTCAGCTTCTTCCTTCAATTCCTTTTCCGTTATAAGCTCTGAACCCAACCTAAAAATTATAACAGATGGTACAAGAGAGAACATCAGCAACTCATTATAAATTGTAAAGAATAGTCACAAAGTGATAAGATGCTGTTTGGATTACTTTTCAAAATATCGATCCAAATTGTGCCATTGAGGATCTTTACAACGATTGCCAAAGCGTACCACTTCTCCAGAAAAAACTTTCAACTCCTCTCTGTTCAAGTTGGTTAAAAAATATTTACATTATTTCTTCTCATGTTCTTAAGAGTATAAGGAGAATCTTGAAAATATTAAAAAATAAGATAATAACAAAGACCACCTCTTATCAGCCGCAGCAATTCTCAGGAGTTCATTCATATCTCTGGATATTAAATTTTGCACTCCTTCTGAGGGAAGCACAACTTCTTTTAAATGTCTAATGTTATCCATTGACAGAGATTGCATCAGATTGGCACCCTTGACAATTGTATTAGCAACCTCAAAAGCCAATATTGAAATTTTATTCCCTTTCGTTGTTACCCCCGAGGTAAACCCACTAGTAAGATTCAAACTCGTCATGCTACTACCAAGTGTGTCAAGAACTTCAACTGCCTTTCCGAGCCCAGCAGTACCAGCTCTGCCCAAAAGAGAGCTCACTTCTGAAACCTATGAAAGCAACCAGTTGATTTCTTCAATAGTTGAGAAGCAAAGTTGCTTAACATTAACATCAACACCAACAAACCACAAAGAACTTCACACAAGTACATTAATGAAATTTGCACCAGGTAAAAGACAAGACTATTTATTTTGCCTCAAAAAGGATAAAGCCATGAGCTCCTTTTAGTGCACCAATCAAAGTGGCAAAGACAAGTCCTTTGCATTAAGCTTCAAAATTTTTGGCGAATAGGTAAACAAGGATACCATAGAAAGGTCATGCCACAAGCTCTTCAACCCTTTTCATCCAACATTACATTTTCACTCACCATGGCAAAAGTTAAAAAAAGTTTTCAGCAACTCATAAACATACATTCCCGTAACATTCTTTTTCCATCGTCATTTTAGTGGTCATGCATTTTGCTTGCATGCCCTTGACTCCAACTAATAAATCACCATAATCTATGACTCTAAACAACACTTAACAACAATAACCTGCCTAAATTAACATTTATTAACCCTCTGGTGCTATGTACTGCTAATTCATCACAAATTACTTAATACTCCATTCTGCTAGACCATCAAAAATGGAAATTTTAGACAAAAGAAAGATGTAAATTTTTCAATTTGAACTAACCTTTGCAACGGCAGCTTGCTTAGACTTAGTTGAACTGGATTTCTGTGATGGTGCCCTTGACAAACAAGGAATTCCATCATTAATATCTTCTGGACCCGTATATGGAACTGCACTTGTCTCTGGAAAAGAAAAGGGTTCTCTCGGCTGCCTGTCCCCATTATCTCCAGCAGGTAATGGATTGGAATGGCAATTTATCTTAGCAGTCAGTTCATGGGACCGAAACACCAATGCAGACCCATGACCAAAGTGACCATTAACACGCGGAAAGCCTCCAACTGGAGCACCATCTAGAGTGGATCTCCTTGAGCAAAGCCCACCCATTATGTGGATCACCAACAATTATATTTCACCAGTGCTTAAAATTTTCCACGAGAACCCAAAGATGCATGCTATATACAAGAGCTAAAAATATCATTTCATCAATTTCACCACATAAACTTGAAAGAAACTGTAAGTGGCAAAACAAAAGCTCCTTTAATCGGTATTTTCTTGCAAAACTGATAGAACCGCAGATACCAATGGAACCAAGACAGTCTAAACCTAGAGATATTAACTCATGTCACAGCAAAATTACCACCGAACGGATTCTGTTCACTAGAAAAGCTCCAGTCCATCAACACCGACTCACCGGACACTACAAAGCAAGAAACAAGCATCCATAAAGCTACAAATCAAACTTAGGAATAAATGACCCAGCTCAAAACCAAATACAGATTGCAACAATATCAATAGAGAAGCACCAAATAAATCATAAACAGTAAATAAAAGAATTTTCGTACGCTGATTACAACAAACCAAAAAACCCAATAACCTAATGAAAAATCCCAATTAGGAAATGAAGAAAAAATCAAAACTTGAGATCAAACACTACCCAGCAGGCAGCAAAAAAAGCTAATATCGATGATTATTACCAAATTACTAGAGGAGAATCTCACCAGCAATGGATCCGTGAGAAGATGCAACAGACACTGCTTCCTGTTCCTTACTAAAAAGGGTACACTAATTTAAAGAAAAGAAGTAAATGGGTATTTCGTTGATGATGGTAAAGGGAAGAGATCAACAAGAACATGAACGGCAAGAGTTTGGCGGTGTCCGTCCCGGTCTGCCACCATTCCCAGACAAAAAGTTAGAAAAAAACACACAGTAACCAACCCAAGAAGGGAAAGAGATGAAGGGAAGAGAATGAGGATAGTCAAAAACTCACCAAAGAAAACCCAAACCCACGGTAATCTACACTGGCAATTGCATTGTTCTTTAACCAAAGTTTTTAGTAATTCTTTTTCCGTCTTCAAGACTCCTCAGTCAAGAGTCACCCCCCTTTACCTCTGTTTTCTTTATCCCCTTTTCCCATTCGCCTTATCGGCGCGTCAATTACAAAATCTTCATTTTTGTTTAAG